CCCCCCCCCGGTTTTGGGGGGAGGGGGGGTAAAGGGTAAAAGAAACCGGCCCCCCCGGAATAGGGGCCCCCCCCCCCCCCCCCCCCCCCCCGGTGTTTGCCATCGGGGTTGGGGTTTCGTCGCTTGGCAGCGATGTTGTAAAACAAGCCGATCACTTCGTGAGCTCAGCAACCAGGTTGCCGTTTTTTTTTTTGCCTTTGGTCTGTTGTTTTTGCGGTAACCATGAATGGCGGTTGAGTAGATTACGTTGTGCGGGGTCGAGAACCATCACTCCTCGCAAAGGGGATGATCGCATCACGTTGTGTTATATTGGTAAAGCAACCTCGAGGCAGTTACACAGTGCTTACAACTGTCTCCGGAAGTGAAAGCATTAGACAATACGTTAAGTCATACGCCGCTGCCATCCGTACGAAAGGAAGTAAGCACAAGACGCCGAACACCCTTAGAAGGATACAGCGCACCCTTCATGCGACTCGCCGAATTCCTCACGGAAGTTCGCGCTTGGTGATGTGTGAGCCTGGTCCGGTGAGAACCCGGTGTGCTCCGTCCCGGCTTTGTAGGGATGCGAGGTCAATTGTCTAACGACTACGGCGTGCACGACTATGAATACCCACCCCCATCCGTATTTCTTCCCTCATACTTGATACTTGTTCCTTTTCCAAATGGGCACGCGTCCTCGCCCCCACGCGGGGCGTGAACAATGCTCTCCTAACCACCTCCGCTACCTCCACCGCCGACCCAAGATTCGAGACTACGTTCGAGATCCCCTCGATGGGTCCCTGTGAGTCAGAAGTTCTGCTTTGAAGCGTTTGCCTCTGTTTCACTGTTTTGGTGGCACTATATCTCGCCGCTCGAACATCGTTGTACACCCTCGTTCAGTCTTGGCCGCTCAGACTACCTGTTTGGTGGTCCTCCTTGCAAATGGGGAGGTCTGCTACCTCGCATAGACGCGGGCAGGAAGCAACCCTGCGCCATGGGTGGGCACGACAATAACATCAACACCCGTAAGCGCACGAAATGAAACTCTGGGTCCGCTCGAGGGGGACGGGGTGTTCTTACGGTGGGGGCATATAGATCAATAAAGAAGTTCCCTGGTTTTCTGCGGAAGCATTTTTGCTCAGGCAGAGGCATGTACGGGAGACCCCCGTCATATGCTGACGGATGTTCTCCGAGGATTTTTTTGATGTTATTCTCTATTTGTGTGAAGGCCATTGGGCCTGGAGATCCCCAAACGGTGGGGGACATCACCCCACGACCCCTGTGCTTCTCTCTGGAAGCTTCTTGTGCATACCCCAAGCAACCGTAGGAATAGCCTGTAGTTGTACAAACATGCCGTAATTACAGCTGCGGGTGCAATCTTTGGTTCACTCTATTGATCGTGCCCACATTTCCCCATACAAAGAAAGCAAGTTTCTGTAGTCGTAGCCGGAAAGCAAGTTGTGTAGTCATAGCCGGTACAGTGTGACCGCTGTTCATTGAAACGTCAAATTGAAACCGTCGATTTGCCAGAGGCGTTTTTTCCCTTATTTTGGGGTACCAGAGTTGGAAGCGGACCCTTTGGATTGATTAATCTTTCGGAGAATTCACGCAAAGAGAAGGTACGCTGGGCAGCGAAGATCAGGAGGTTATACAGCTAAACTGAGAGAGAGGAATTTTAGGATTGGCCAGGTTACTAGGTGAAGAAGTTGTGTTCTTTCAAGCCCACCTACCCCTTTCTTGCGAAGGTGAGGGAACGGAAGGGAAAGAACGGGTCAATACAGTGAATGGTAGAGTGCCATTTGGGGACTTGGTCGTCTGATGTGTCGCGTGCAGTAGGACGGGTTCCCTACACCGGTGGAAGAAGAGAAAACCCGGCTACGTTTCTTAGGGGAGAGGAAGAAACAGTAGTACTGATGGACAGAGACACGGTAGGATAGGCGCAGAGAGCGTCTGCGGGGAATATGTTCTGTCGGTGTGGTTTCTCTCTCTTCCCCTCGCGTTAAGGAAGCACTCATAACGCAATAATGTCTGTGAGATGTATTGTCGCCGCAACAGAAGTTGAACGCTCGAATGTCACCAACGCTCACCGAATGACTCGTATTTTGTCGGTGATTCATGAAAACGTTTCGAACGCCACGCATCTACTGCATGTATATTTTCTTTCACGATTACCCTACAATTTCATTCATCACCGTCGCCGTGCACAGGGGCGAGCCGTGCACCGATGTAGATGACATCAACCTCGTTGCCAACAGGTATGCCTAAAATATCCGAAGAGGACATAGACGTTCCGGTAGGTTTCCCCCTACTGTACAGTAGTTGACTTCTCATATTAGCATGCCGACAATGATTTTTCCTTCGGTTCCTTCTGTTCTACATTGGATCTACAGTCTCTTCGGAATTGTCGGAGCTTCAGGTTCTCTGTTCATCAGTGGTTTGTTGGTTAGCTTCTGGCCACGGGGATTCTTGTGCTTGCTTCTTAGGATGAAGAGAGAAAAAAAAAAGGGGCAGAAGCGATTGTTGGTATGGAGACAACAAGCACAACTTCACCGCCTCTTCGCTTCACCCACCCCTCGCGGATTGTCTCTTTTGTTCAGGATGCTCGTGTCTCCGAACGGGATGTATCTCTATGTGAGTCAAACGCGTTAAGACTGATGCGGCTTTGTATACGCGGGCAAGAGTGAGGTATTGCACTGAACTGTGCACGAAGGCGGGTCCAAAACAGGATCCGATTAGGGCCTGATTCATGGTTTTGGTCACAGCACAAGAGAGCAGCGAAGGTTACTTTTCGCCCGCTTCTCAACCCCTCCCTCTAGACTTTCGCAGCGAGCATGCAATGGCTCTGACGCGACACCCCTCGTCTAGTCTTGGAATTTTGTGTGTAGTCACGTGTTTATCCGGCCGTCAAAAATAAACGAGAGGCATTGTCGCACTTGGACCGACTCAGCCACATGAAGCGCGAAACCGAAGTCGCAATCTGTATTTCTGGCACACAAACAAACTATCGCAACAGAGAAGCTACGTCCCACTTTGCCGCATTTCGGGTCAGCAGACTGTATATATCGAAGCTGGTACGTGGGATCTCGGAACATCAGACTCGTGGAGTTCCGACGCGACACTGCTGACAAACACCATCCAGTCCGATCGCGTTCTGCCTACGTCCCCCTTAGCATTCTGCCCAAACTACAAGCATTCAGCCTTACTTTTTCCCACAGGTGGCCAGAGGGATAAGCGTGAAAGCTTACCGAACTCACACCGAGACTCCGATTACGCCAAGTCCAACGGAGGCGCCTGCCCCTGCCCCGATGGCAACGCCTGAGCCTACGCCTAGCCCAGATGCATCCCAGACAGGAGATTCCAATGAGATTTCTCCGCCAGAATTGACCTACGCAGAGCTTTCAGGAACTGAAAGTTTGTTCGTGATAAGCTTCAACCGGACCTGCTATTGTACAGCTGGCGATGGTGCTTCGGAGTTGTCGTTTCCGCCGGCGTTGTGCGGGCAAGACTTTGAAACCGCGGTGTTCGATCAACGGTACGTCGTCTAGGGCGCGTTGAACACGGAAATTAGGGTGATCGTCATTATAGTTCGACCGCGTGAAGATGCGTGGTATGGTATGATTGCGTCACTCAATTGCGTGCGGGCGACATTACGGAGTCGACTTCACTTCTTCCTTCAACCCTGGGAAAGCCAGCGCAGTGCACATAGGAACATATCTCGGCCAGGACAATGGGAAATGTCCTCGGCCTCTCCTGGCTGGTGAAATATGACTTGTGACGGGTCTCGCGGATTTCTAAAAATTCGTTTGAAAGTTCATGTCCTTCGAACGTGGTCATTTGACCTGTCTAGCATGGTTCGCGCTGTGTCTACGATTTTCGAACAGGTGCAACGTAAAGAGTCTTCTCGACGAAAGCACGCGGGAATTCTTCGGCGAGAACACAACAATTTGCCAGTGGTCCAATGGCAGCAGAGAAGCAGTGGTCAGATTCAATGAATCGTCTGTTGTCGTGTGGGACCCGGCACCGAACATTACGCTGGCCGGCGGGTGAGCCTACTCTCTGCCTTGGCCTAACATTAGAAATGAACAGTAAACGCGATGATCGTAGACCCCCGCTATTACGATTGTTAGATTGATTTGTTGACACAGCCGTCTTCGTCGAGTTCACAACGTGTGTTCTGTAATACTTTTATTATGGTATGCGTCAAATTGACCTCTGTCATTGGAAATAAATATAGGGTGCTCTCGCTTTGTTTTCGAGACTGGCTGTTACCCTTTGCGTGCGTATCGTAGTCCCTGTTGGTGTCTGCGCGAAGAGGAAGAGCCCGGGACCGCATCGTGTTAAATGCAAACTGAAATCAAGGGTGCTTGGGCTGGGCAGCTGCGGAAATAGAAAATACCGTACGCAAGAGGGTGATATTTCTTTCCTTCTTCGAACTTTGCGCATCCCCTGGACCAGGTACATTTATGGACAACAGAATTTGTCCTTGTATGAAGAGCCAGCTGTATTCGCCAGTGGAACGGTTACACTTGGGTTGCGACAGGCGGCACCGGAGCTCTCAGAGGTACGTTCCGTCATGGCTCTCCTTCCACCGTGCCCAGACGAAGCTAACAATTTTCTGCACCATGTACTGTAATCCGAGAGTACAGCAAGATTCGATGTTAGGGGTTTCATGCAATCACGCAGCTCACGACGGTCCCCCATGTTGCAACCCATTGTGGACGGCGTGTTCGGCGCCTCAGAACCCCATTGGTTTGGGTTGGTCTAATCTCACCAACATGGCTTCTCCTGTTGACCATGGCGATATAAACTTCGGTGCCATTCTTCACTGTGTTGATACAACCAACCGCAGGCAACGTTTACAAGCGACGGCTCTTCAATCGTGGTATCGTTCTCTGCAACGGGCTCAGCATCGAGCGGCCTGGTGGACCCGAATGACACAGAATCGGGCAGCGCCGGGGCTTGCGATGCTCTTTTCCGCAGCACTACTCTACTTGCGATCGGGCATGGCGCGATATGTGAGTTTTTGAGGACTAACGCATCCCCCCCACGTCCTACGTGGTGCTGGTCGTACATTATCAACCAAAATAATCTTCAATGATGTTCATGCGGGTTGCTGTTGTGCTCAGATTTGTTGAAAGTACGACGAAACCGCGCGCATGACACAGTCTCCGCCAAAGGCTTCCTGACGACCTAGCACATCAAAAGAGTCACAACCTACGTGGTCTGTCTTGGGAACTGCATCGAACAACAACCAGGTGAATGGACAAGCCACAGAGAACTCACGGTATTCCTTGGGTCGGATGCATCGGTAGTGGCAGAAAGTAGTGACGCCACTACCACAATGGTTTCGACGTCCTCTTGCACGACGGACGAGTCTTGCATTGTCCTCAAGGATGGAGGGGTTCGTGCAGAGGCGTTTGCCGTACTCTCGTCTGAGGGATCAGTCCCTGTTTTGCCCCCTGACAACCCGTCCACGGTGTCGGCCGTCCTGGTCGCGCCTCAGGTGAGTAGTATGCATGTGGTCGCCACTGTCTCGCCGGGAAAGGTACACAAAACTGCAACGCCAGAAGAGGCGATGAAACCTATCGGGTCGTCTAGGAGTTGGTGTGCTGTGGTTTCTCCAAGCAAATTATCACCCGTAGCGGCGACAGATTGGCCCAAGAGAGGCACTTTGCGCTTCACGTCATCCGGAGAGATTTTCTTCCCGCTCTGATCAAGGAGCCTCCTGTGTGCCTGCCTTGTGTGTGAACTCCCAACACAGTGGGTGGGGCTCTGCGGCGAGTTTTCGCTCGACGGGCGTATGTCTTCCGGAGCTGCGTCAAGGTCACTTGCTGCCGTCTGGAACGTTTCGACGACACTTGCAAGCGACAGTGCTGCCGTGACGGCTGTGGCAGGGGCTCTTAAACCGTTTCAGGGATCCCTGTATGCAACCGTAAACTCAACCTCGCTCGAGCCCCTGGTGGAATTCAAGATCTCGCTCATAGTGGAGAACTTCCTCGGTTCTGTCGACGCGGCTGCAGTCACCGTTACCAGAGTGTGAGGCCGTTGTTTAGCGTTTCGTGTATACCCCAGCCAAACACTTGAAGAATAGTCCACACTCTTGGTCGCGTTGTCGGAGAGAGGTGGAGGGAATGAAGTGCAAGATTCTGTGGAAATTAGGAACAGAACCGACCCAAAAGCATGTCAAAAATGTGGATGGTTATTCAAGAGAGTAGCAACTTGCTTTCCATTTCCTTCCTTGAACTATGTATTAACTAGAGTACGCGCTGTTTCACACTGTCGGAAAGAACGTTCGCTGTATCAATACTTGTCACTGCCAACCACCAATTCCGGACTCAGCAACGAAGACGCCCCGTCAGTGGTAGTGGTGGGTCCAGCGGCAAAGACAGCGATAAGGAGTCGACCAACCTCTCTGAGGATGGCTGCAACACCACCTGCCTGCGGTAAGAGTGAAACAATCATCCCCTGGTCAGACCGTATCCCCGCAAATTGCAATATACCCACCGCTACTTCTGAGTTCGCTGTTCTTTCTTATGAGCTCACGGCTACTGCGTGAAAGGCACCAACGTCAGCACATACCCTCTCATACAGACATGACCCTGTTGTTTCCAAGATGGCTACATTCACATGTTTTCCCGGCGCCTTGAACGTCACCACTCCGTTGGCCTCGTATGTGTCCAACATAAATCCGGCAGGTGATGCTTCGAGTTTATCATTCACCTGGACCGAGTCGGGAATGGACGGCTATGATGCCCTGGGCACAAGTGTAATGGAGGTGCCGTGTGTACGAGGTCAAACGTCTCAGACTTGGGCAGTATGTACCATGCCTGGCTAGACCAGGCCGTCTGTGGTATTTTCATAGTTGTTGGGGGCAACGGCCACCCCCTCTAGCTCTTCTCATTCACCGCAGAATTCATTTCAGATCGATAAGACGTGTGGCCTCTTGCGCTTCTCGGAGCAAATTATATGCATTCAAGACACGAATCTGAGCGAAATGGACCAACGTTTGTCACATCGTTCCGCTTCCCTTTGAACAAGAATTTGGTGGGAAACGACCCCACGGCCCTCACAATACCAGCGTACACCCTCAGCTACCCCGGGTCCACGTACCGATTCGTCGCAACGGTATCATCGGGGACGTTAACATCGGGGGCGGTCGTCGAGGTGAGGTTTCTTGTCCCACGAGCGACAACCATCGCAACATACATGATGAGCATTGTAGAATTTACAATTTCCGGGTACTACAAACAGTATCTGTAGGTCTGTAGGAGGCTGTTCACGGTCGCCCACGGCATAATCACGGCGAAACGCTGAAGCTACCCCGACATCATCACATGCAAGCAGTTACCGTAACAGCGAATGACGGCACCTGCTGGTAAATATATCAAAGATTGGATAAAGCCTGCCACGTTGCCCGTCGTGATATAAGTTCACCTGAAAATATCTTAATCCTCTCGCCACCACAACAGTCCTACAATAAGAAAACATCATTATGTATCTGCTCACCACATTCCTGAGATTCCATGAGAACATGTCGAAAGGTGATATATTTTCCGATGTCCTTTCAAAAAGGTCGTTCAGCTTGTTTCTGAGCGGTTGATTTCCTCAATTTGGCAACCACGAACAACTCAATCTTGCAACAGAATATCATACCTCGGCCAACGTTGTTCACAGATTATCGTGGGACAAGGAGCTCTGAGGGCTGCTATTAGTGGCGGTCAATACCGGCAACACACCGTAGGTATGTGAAAGCGTCGCACAGACCGTGCGAACGAGCCAATCGGGACGACCGTGCTATTCTGTAGTTGTTCTGAGAAATACCTGGCACACTGGCCCTTCTCTCCGACGCCTCCGATCCGTCTTTGATGTTTCCGAACGGCTATGTTCGTCTGTAGGTGCCGACCTCGTTCTGGACGGCAGCGAATCACTTGACGAGGACGATGTTCCGGAGGAGGAGTTTCCTCTCAGGTGTGTGACGTGCACACAAGAAAACCCGTGTTGGTTTGCTTGTCGCCAGGTGGTTGCAAGCGCTGGCACCTGTCGACATGAGCGCTATGTAGTTGGCACGTACGGAAACTGCTATCGCAGGGCATTTTACGACATGTTGATGTTGAGATACCACTGGTTGGAGTCTATGCCAGAAAAAGATACATATTAAGAGACTCCAACGGGGGCGGGACTTGTTGAGGATGGAGCCCACATACACCAACTTCCGGCCAGCGGACATCCAACACCTGGACGAGTAACAGGCCGACACCAGGTTGTCACCTAGAGATGCTCCAACCTTGTTCTGAACTCTACTCGCCAGGAGCCCCGCAACCAATTTAGCAAGCACGTTTCCACCCAACACGACGCTCAGAGGCAACGAGATAATCGAAGAATTGATTGACACTTCCCTTTGCTCAAAACAAGGAATAAGAGCATGACTCTGGTCAACGTTGCCTCTTTGGTTACCGATTGCATTCAGAATGTACATAAAATATGCGTGTGATGCGGTCTCTCGTCGATCTCCACATATTGCCGGGAAGCTCGCCCTTGACAAACGTGGAGGTCGTATTTGAAAGGTTCCACGTTGACACGGCCCCCTCCCATCTCAGTGCCCAGTTTCGTTAATCCCGGAGTGTCGCTGGGAACTCTGTGCATCACGATGTCCAGGTACTCCTGGTCTTGCTCCGAAAATTGCTCCGGAGTGGCGGACGGGTATACTGGCTCGGACGAGGCAATCTTCACGATTCCGAGCGGGAGTTTGGAAGCAGGCTTGGTATGTCAGACAGATCGCTGTGTTGCCACCGCCCTGAGCACAGAAGTAGCTCCAAAGCTGATATCCCCCAACGGATCTCAAGCCTACTGCCCCACCACCTGGATGTTCGTGCCCCATCGACGATGACAGGTGTACGAGTTCTCCCTGAACATTAGCAAGGGAACGGCAGAATCTGATGTGGTCTACGGCGTCTTTCGTTCAGACTCCGCGGCCGTCCAAGTTCAAGTAAGTCATGGTGATTTATCTTCATCTTGGGAGGGTCACCTTCACCTTTAGCAAGCGATTCGGATCGGAATGATTGCTGTCGTGCGTTCTCCGGATATGCGTGATCTTGTGCGTTCTCAGGTCAATAGCCCGAGGACCAACTACGTGAATCACTTCATTTCGTAAGCGGGATTCCACTTTTCACGGGAGTCTACGCCGAGAAGGCAATGGCTTCGTCAGTGTACGTGCTCTCATCTCCTTTTCTATTGTCTGATGGTGTCTCAAGGTTGTTTCCTTCGAGGCTCCTGAGGTGGTCGTGGCTGCTAAAAATGATAAAGAAAAGGTGGACCCCACGCAGAAGGTCGTCATATACGGCGGCGTGGTTGAGCAGTCCACAGCAGTGGAATATGTTTGGACACAGGTGGGATGCAAGACGTTGTATAAGTCAGGGTGGTGCTTGCGCTGGTACTGGCGACCCAGCTCTGATCATATTCCTTGGTATATTTACTCTCAAAGGCATCATGTTTTGCTGGCGATCGAGCAACAACAAGAATCACCAAACATCACGAGTACGTTGTGTTTATTCCTTCATCGCGCAACCACTAGCGCACTGCTTGTGGTGCAAAATCCCTTCATGGTTGTTGTCAGAGGGGTCAACGGAGCACCTGCGGGGCGAGTACGTTGAACCCCACAGTGATGCCGATGTCAGACGTCAATCGCTTAATGCATGCACGTCTCAAAATTGTTGGACCCTTCTTTGTGATCGTGTTTGCTGATGGGGGGTGTCGTGCAAACTCTTTCCAGGTGAACGGTGATTTGGACCTCGCGACGGCGGATTGGAGTGATTTGTTCACCAGCACCCAGACTGGGTGAGATGTCAATACGCGGGAGTAAGCGTTTGTCGAAGTGCGTGTGTTCTTGGTTTTTGGGGATGCCTAACGTACATCATTCGCACGCTGAGTAGCGCTGAAAGTCAATGGGATTTATTCAGTTTCCTGGCCAAACACAGTACTACGTGTGACCCCAACGGCCGTGTGCACCCAATGTTTGTACGCCTGAAATGATACAAAGGGTTTGCAGGATGCATTCGTCGGTCTTGGATGAGGTTTGGGGCTCTTTCGAAAATGGTAACCCTCACAAAACCCCACCATATCAATTGCAGGGCCATTCTTGTGGTCAGACCGTTCGTGCTGACGGGTGGGTCGTCCTACACGTTCCGGCTTTCAGCGGTGGATACCGCTTCCGGAGAAACAGGTACGCAATCGAGGCGATGCACGGGATTGTCTCGCCGTAGCACAGTACGGAGCTCAGCTGTTCATCGTAATGCTGGAGGTGAGTTGCAACGCGAAAAACACTCCCCGTCACTGATCGGCCTTCGAAGTCGCACCGATATTGCTGCGCGTGCGGTGATATACACTTTTCAGGCTTTGCGGAGATACATTTCGATGTGAACGCACCTCCGTCGGGTGGATACGTCGAAGCGACACCAAGGGCAGGGGTTGCAGCCATCGACATGTTTTCTCTAGAGGCTTTGCTATGGGAAGATGACATCGAAGATCTTCCGTTGAAAGTCTCTTTCTTCTACGTCGCGGGTCAGGTAAGCAACGAAACACCGAGATGAATCATACTCGGGAACCAATCCAATGCTTTGAAGGGACGATCGAGTGTGCGATTCATCGTTTCCTCTTCTGCCAAACGATATTGGTGTTGGTCGTGCGTCAACGTATTCCCGGAAAATATTGTTGCGTTTTCGGGCGCTGCGTACGAACTCCATTCGTACGCGTCCGTGAGCATGTCATGTTCATCAAAAACACACCACGGTCAAGAACGTTACGGCAACGTCTAAGGCATTGCACCACATGGTTGCCAGAATTCGAGGGGCGAGGACATGCAGATGCAATACGTGTAGACCTACACCAATTTGACCCTCTCCAGGACGAAACGGGAACACGGCGCAGCCTGTCGCTGTATGAGGTGGAGTCTGTCGAGTGGAACGGACCCCTACCTGTAGGTTCGGCAGCTGACAACTACACGATGACCATCATAGGTAAGAACAATTCGGGGATTGAACGAGGACCATTTCGATCTGTATCTCATCACCAAATGAGGGGGATGGGACCCAAATCCAGTATCCAGCACTTTACTCCCGAATGCGGACTGTAACACGCACCGTTTCGGTTTGTAATTCGTCGCAATTGGGGAGGCGGGACACTCGAAACGAACACCCCCAGCACTCGTACATGCTCGAGCAAAGATTGTACGCGCCAAGTTCACCATGACATTGATTTCCCAGCGTGGCTTGGAACCGCCCCCCGGTTTGACGAGTCCGAGTAGAACCTACTGTCAGTCTGTCTGGTGTTTGTATGAGCGCTTGCTTTTTGCACGGACGTTTCACTGACTGTTTCGCAATTGTTTTGTGTTCCAAATCCACACACTCTATAGGTCACATTTCTGATAGTTACGGTGCCACAGAAACGTCATTCTATGATGGGTCGGGACAACCACTCTTCGTGCGCGTGACAGCATGGGCGGCCTCTTCGAGCGGTCTGGTGAGACGAGCTGTGGGGGGGTTCATGGATGGGCAAAGCGTGTTTGAGGAGATGGGGGACCATCGTCTCTGAATTTTCAGAATATTTCGATGATGCTGGACTTTGAAGTATGCAATTGTATGCGGTGTCTGTTCGCAAGATACAATCAAGTTCCGAGTGTCATGACTTGTGTTTCCTCACTCATATCCCTGGTCAGTCGCTGATGGATGAATACGCAGCCGTGGCCAGCGTCACGGAAGACATTCCAGGGGAAACAACATCGATTGTCAGAGCGTTTGCCTCCCTGCTCATCGTCGAGATCAACAACAGTGCGGCGGCCACACCTACTGAGGAACAAGAATTCCAGGTGTGGGCTACTCGGGAAAGATACGACGTGCATTCATATCCGCTGAGCTCTCGAATGCATGGCATGGTGAGAACAAAATTGATTCTACCTTGTTGCGGTGCGGATAATTGTCTCGGCGCAGTTGCCAGATTTGTAGGAAACGAGCGTTTCTCGCATGCGTGACGGATTCGACGTCATGGGCGGACGAGTGAGCGCCTCGGCTATAGTCATTGTCACAGTAACTACCAGGGTCGACACTGTGGAGGAAATGTGAAAACGAAAAGCAGAACACCCTGTGTGGCCATCCTCTTGCGTGACCCCAAGTGGTGCATCCAGAAGCACCGCAATTTGTGAAGGATGGTGTCCAGATGGGACGACACAGACACAGTCTCCGGAAACCATGATGGTATCGCACCTACACAGGCAACAACAAATTCTCACTTTCTCACCGATCATTCCACGGCGGCCTTTTCCGGGCAGAACAGAACCCGACAACTCCTTGTGCATTGCTGTGAACCTGATATCCGGGCTCCAACGCGATATTATATCGTGCGGAGTGTCAACCTTTACCGTTGTAGTCGTGTCGACCCAATTAAAGGAGGAACGTCTCGGCTGTGCAAGGACATCTCTTCTTCGGCATCAACATTTCCATCATACGCAGCCGTCGATGACTGCGTTGCTCAAGCGACTGGGTAAACAACAATATCTTTGGGTGGACATGGTAACGAGTCGTTGCCTCCCAATGGGTCCCGCTGCTGAAGTGCGAATACATACATCCTTGGCGCAGGCGTTTACTTTCCAATTCCTCAGAATATTATTGTACAACCACTCAGATCCACGTTGTTGCTGCCCCAAATTCCCATGGCAGACCTTTGTGGCTACCATGATTGATGCAACCGTGCGCGAGTCCACCGTGTTGGACTACTCGACGACAATGGCCGGTGCAATACTAGACACGATGGTGGTTTTGTCGAGCAGCGAAAAGGCGTTGAACACGGATTCGCAGGTGCGCGGTATTGGATGTCGCGGGTGGTATTGCGGGTTTCAAGGGGGGAACATGGGCTGGGCAGGTATATGGTTGTATGGCGATTCACATCGGGAGTCCATGTAGTGATTGATGTGAAGGGATAGCTTCATGGAGAGGTCGGTTATCATAACACTGAGATCGCTGAAATTGGTGCGTATCCTCAGGCGGCCATATTGGCGTCTTCAGCCTCCATCCTGAACACAGCAGCCGGGGAAGGCTACTGGGACTCGGGCATGTACACCCCGACGGTCCAGGTGTTGGACCAAGTGATAGGAGCGTACGACACATCTTCAGACACCATCGTCGGGAGCGGCCTAATGGGCCAAGATGCCGCGTCCAAGTAAGCGTCGACGTTTGACTTCGACCTTCCTGTGAAAACGCCTGTAGATCGTTGGCCGATACCTACAAAATTTGAGAAATACGGTGCGAAATAATTTGACTGCAGACTGGTCACGGGATCATGACGATGCTGCGTTGTTTGTGTCGCCCGGTGCAACTCAAAGTTTGACGGCCATCGTGCAGTCGATAGTGCTCCTCATGGAGGCTGGAATGGAAGACGGCGAAGGTGTGATGACGATCGAAAGTGAGTACGTGCAAGCGAGCTGTCTCGTCACTTCAAGCACGGGGAGCCTGAGCTTCGACACCGGTGAGAGCCTGCAGTTGGCAACCATTGAGTTCCCACATAGAAGGCTTGTTCGTTGAACACGAAGGGTCGAACCGCTTGGCCGTCGCTCTTCAATACCGATTTGTGTCGCTCGAGAGGAGAAAAATATGCAATTTAGATGTGCCGTTTCAGCACATGCATTCTTCTTTGCTACACCGCGCCATGAAAGGAACATCATCGGTGTCATTCGAAGACGGCGTTATTGCTTCTCCATCATCGCCATCAACGAGGAGGCGGATGACCCCTGAAATTGACGGGGGCTTGAAGTGCAAATCAGGCCGATGTGCTCGATCGACAAGACGTATGCCAAAATCATCCTCTCGTCGACTGAATAGTGTGTCCTCGACATCTACGTCAACGGTGGTGGTCACCAACCAGCTCTTCAATGCCAATGACCGGCCGTCGGCTCTCGTCAACGGGGGTGTCACACAGATCAAAGTTTCGAGTACCAGTGACGGAGAGGTATGTTGGGTCAGTACATGGTACCATCGTAAGGTGTACTTGTCTGTCCGTGGTAGGGTGTTCTTTCAATGTCGTAGGCAGTTGACGTATCCGAATCTCCGCACGTCTCAGAGACGTAACGCCCGTTTCGTCGCGGGAGTACACAATGCTCGAATCAAGCGTGTATCGTTGCGTCCCGAGGTAAACAACGTACACTTGAAGCACCCTAACCCCATGTCTCTGGGGCAGGACCCTCAGTTGGTTCCTTCAACAAGCTGAACTGTATACGGTATAGCCTACAGCACAAGTATGCATAACCGGTGACAATATATTCGGTGGTTAGCTACAGTAGATTCCAGCCATTGTGAGTTGCCTAGGTTTGCCACGCTTACAATTCGAAAGGGGACAGTATGTACCAAGAGGGTTTCACCGCCAATCACTCCTCTGGCTCGCATTCTTGGCCTGCCTGTCGATAATGTCCACACTTCAGGACATCGCGTTGGCAGGCCCGGTACAGCTGACAATGAGGGCCTCAATGACATCGAGTGCTCAGCTCCCGTCGTGCTCGTACTACAACGAGGACACCGGCCTCTGGGATTCAGAGGGCCTCGCTATTGGCGCAGTTGCGGTGCTGACCGACGCGGCAGACAGCGCAGTGGACGTCCTCGTGTCCTGTGTGACGTTTCACCTGTCGGACTTCGGTGTGGCAACCACAGAAGTCGAGCCCGTCTTCCAACCGGTGACACTGGTGAGCTTCGCCTTGACGGTTAGCGTCGTGTTCACGCTGGTGATTTTGATTCAAGTTTTTCCGCATTGCCTCATAGAAACTGTTGGAGGTTGGCGAATTTGTATCGAGTACAGCTTGTCAGAGCTAGTATTGGCCTTGTAGCATGGTCCATTCGGCACACCACGCATCGTGCGCTGTGCCTGAGCTCGCACCTTTCCCAGGAGAACGTACAGGATACAAACACATGGACCGCTCATCAGTGGCCCACTATGCAAACCGATCATAGACTGTTCCCACAATGATGCATCCCTACCCCTCGGCATGGTTCTGGTCAGGGGGCAGGCCTCAGTGTCGTCAAGGGAAGGGAGATCACCGTGTGGGGACTTGTGCTGACGGTAGGTGCTCTGATTCTTTTGGGCGTCGTCTGGAGCGTCTCCAGGATAGCAGATCATCGTTCGAAAACGGCCGAAAGGCTTCAGACAAGGGCCTACGACCACTACATCGAAACAGGACATGTGAGTGTTAGCATACTACAGTAGGTAGGCACCACAACATGCCCGAAGTTGTCGGCCAAGGCTGGCCCCAGCTGGCTCTGAACGCGACAGATGTCGACCGGAGTAGATTATCCTCTCCCCGGTCTTGCATGGCATTGGTCACACATCCAGAAATACAACTCAGCGGGGCGGGCGAAGACGTCAAGCCTGCACACACTCCGCTGTGTTTATGCAACCGGTTGAGGTGTGACCTCGTCCGTCACAAGTGTTTGGGTTCAACTTAGGCATAAGTGCGTTTCGCTCGACTGCTGTGTCCGACACCAGCCCCAGCGACTACCGACTTTGGAAGACATCAAGGACTTGAAACAGACGCTAGAGAAGAAGCACAAGACAAGACGGAAAAAACGGGACGCGACATTTGCAAGATACCTCAGACGGAAGTTATTCCAACGGTGAGACTACGTTGTTCAACGGTGTGTCATGCTAGGTATGTGTTGCGGATGGCGTTGACCCCGCCTTGAGCTACTTCACGATAGGTAGAATGTGGGGAAAGTGGGTCTCGATGACCTTTCCGGGGATGATTTTGCGTGGTTTTCATGCGGAACGGTATGGGTGATGCTAATAGAGTCAATTGGTCGTCGATTTAGGCGGCGTGAAGGAAGTGTACTTGCTTGTGTTCACTGGCATGATTGAGCCACAGTATGAAAGAGGGCCGGGAATACTTCCGGTGACACGAATGACACTGTATAGCAATTTTGCTTGGCAAAGGTTAGCGGCGAGATATCGGCAATAGACGATCGTCCGCACCGGTGCTTCGTTAGTTGGGGTGGATGGATTGCAAGACACAAGGCATCCCAGCCAAATGATACACGACTCATCAGCATTGTCGTTCTCTTCAAATCTCCTCAGATTTCGGTCTTGGCTTCAATTGATGTGGGCACTGCTTCAGCATGTGCTTTTCTTCCACCCTTGGGCTGGGATAATTGCGCCGTCTGGAACTCATTTAACTCTCACCAGGGCGCAGGTGGGAACAGCGGACGTAGCTGCTTTCCGCTCTGAATGCGCCATTGAGTACTTCTGCGATCTCATGGGTCTAGCAGTACCGTAGCGATCAGGGCCATAGTTGCGGCTGCTAGGAGGGGGGAATCATGGCCCCAGATATTCTTACCCGCCTTTGCAGCAAGTACAAGGAAGATTGACTTTGAGTACTATACGAGACTTGTTTTCTGCGAAGGGTACCGCACCGTGTGCAGCACGATAATGGCACAACTGTCCTGAACGAGACCGACATCGCGAATGATGCTTCAGCACCTCACGCTCCCTCACGCTGTGCGTGCAGACCGGACGCTTAGATTGCATCGATTTCATTCCCTTTCTTGTTTGCTTTGGCAGCTATCGTTGTTGATATTCACACAAGTGATGGTCATCATGATGCTCTCCGCTGCCGTGTCTGGAAACGCCGCAAGCCCAAAGGTTGAATACGCTCAAATTTTGGCCAGGTGAGATGGGGAAAAGCTACTTGCCGCGCACCATCTGTTGTCGAAACCGTCTTCAATTACGTGCCGTGCCAATGGATGCCGTGACCTCGGGGGATACTATGTACGTAGTCCCGCTTGGGCTGCACTGTGTGTGCTAAACCTGCAGACCACCGTAGGGCCCATATGTAATACAATATCATTGCTCTACGGATCCTGCGTCCATGCTTCAATTATTTCGGGAGGGTCCTCTTGTATAATCAGGGATACAAACGAATTCTATTTCGGCACAAACATGGAAAAGCTAGAGGCGTCCACCCTAATCATTTGCTGAAATTTGCATACAGCCGATCATTGTCCTTTTCCCTGCCGTGAATAGGAGATTAACATCGGGGTCTCACGTTAGGGTGGAAATTTCGAGAGATGCCCGGAAACCACCGGCCTCAGAGCTGGATGCCTCATGCAAAAATCCAATACATGTACTTGGATAAAAGGATCCTACGCCAAGAGCAACAATACAGCTGGAACAGGCTGGTCGCATCATGTCGACGTTACAGCAGCCAATGCGGATCGTGAGATCAATACGCCTTGCTTGTTTCACTGCTTCTACTCAACAATTTGTTCTCCCAGCTTAGCGGCGACGCTACCGGCCTCAATTATCGTTCCACGGGCGTTTGCTTCCTCGGCCACACCACCTCCTTCGGTCACCGCGAAACCCAATTGGTTGCAGGTGGGATAGCGTCGGCTACAGCTTTGTGTTGGAAGCGTGCATTATTATCGGTCGACTGCTGATAGCTTTCGACAGGTGAAGAAAAGCAAATTGAAATGAATTAGACTAATCTCAAACCGAATCTCCTCGGAAATACCATCATCGTGAGCCCGCTTGTCTCACAACCACCTTTGACCATGCCTGCAGGTAGTCACGGCCATGAAAGGCAATTCCCAAGCTTCGAAGCTAACTCCATCATCGGAGTACGGCAGCAAGTCGAGGTATGTGACGATGATTCGCTTCAACATCCATAATGTGTCACGCAGTAATGGACCATGACGGAATTTGCAACCGTAGGCTCGTGGTGGCGGCAGATTTCAACTTTCAGGAAATGTGGATCTTGTCTAGTCTATGCGAGACTCGTCACCAACAGTTGGCCCGCTCGACGAAAAACTCTCACTCTAGCCCATGTCCTTGTCTCTCTCTTAAACACACAACCCGTTGTATTTGGTTGATGGTCGCTGTCAGAGTTCATTCCGACGTCGTCGGGCACATGCACGTGGGTTCATGTTGCCCGTATCGCGGGCAATCCCTAGAGTGAGATCGGCGGTAACCGTTAGGCTTTGCTTCAAGTGTGCAACGTTTGTGCCAGAGGGCGCCTGATGATCTCACATATCAAACATGTCTGCGGTCGAGAAGCGTGTACGGGGAATACGTGTAGAAATCAGCAAACATTTTTCGCCTTCCGTACACATTTTTTCATGATCTTCGACGTTCCACATCACACAAAAACATTTGTTTTCACAGAATTTTGTTTTCTTTACGGTTTCGTTCATGTGACGCTTGCTCTTTGCCACCGTCCCTTGTATATCGCAATAATTCGATGCAGATGGGTGCGCGAGCCAAGTTACTTTCTGGCGGCAGTATACTTGGTGGCCGCGCGAGTAAGACAATTCATTCCACGCGGCGGGGCTTTGCCTCCTCGGGACCCTGGTATCGGGGACGTCCTTGCTCGGGGAACGTGAGTCAAACGCAGCATTCGAACACTTCACCCGCGGCCTAGATCAATGCAGATTGTCCAAGTGCCCTTGGGAAAGGTGTTTAGTTGCGTGCTTGTTTGCCTCGCTTTTGCCTCTCGCGGCCGGTTGAACATTGACCTGAAAAATGTTGCGACTCCTCGACAGGGGTCATTCGAACTCTCTCAGCTAATAATGTTCACGCTGCTGACATGCTGACCGAGATCCCCGCCTCAGGCCGACTTTGCAGAAGGGCAATAATGCACTGTCTGACGATGTGAAAACACGTGTCTTCCCCGTACCCTCCTGTAGTGGGATACTGCTGGCAGCACTGGTCCAGCTTGCCCTTAACATAGTGTGTGGATGTCTTTGCTTTGCACTCGGCGCGGACCACGCCCTGGAAAAAGCATTGAGCGCCGCCGTGGTCGGTAGCCATGTTCAGAGCTTTCTGTTTCTAGGTGAGGATGCGGGGCTCATTGATGACGAATGAGGCCTGTTGTTGGACTTTAGGGATGTTACTTTCAGAATCTAGATGTCAGGGTCGTTGCTTGTGTTGAAACAATCGCTCTCCAAGGCAGTGAATGAGGAGGGTTGGTTTATCCAGTTCTCAATCCAATATCCTCCTTGATTTGTTTTCGCAGATGCATTCTTCTCAAACAAGGCGACGATGTTCACGTTGTTGAGCTACAAAGCAGTCTTCAACCTCGTCTTCGTAAGCTTGGGGCTCACTTCGCTGCAGCTGGTACTGGCATTTTATTGCATGCAGATGGCAGAGACAGGCTTTGGTCTGTACCTGTCGGTGTTCATCATCTCCCTGATCAAGCTCATAGTGTGCCAGACGGTGAGTGTTGATGTGTCTCTTGAGGCATCGATGAGGACCACGACACTATTGGAACTACATAACGAATGGGTAGGATGGGATAGACCTCTCATCATTCTGTAGAGGGCCTCGTATGTCGCGCGTTGGATGAGGTGGCCGGTTACAATCATCATTACTGGTGGCTGGAATGTCGCACTTTGGGCTTATCATTCCTCTTCTGAAACAGAATAAAGTAAACCACGGGTGACTCTGCACCCTTGTTCACACATGCACTCTCGTTTCTTTCGGCGACCTTACACACGTCGTGTATGTACCTGGATTTCTTGACTTCCTCTGAACGTGTCCCCGCGACTGCTTTCCCGCGACCGCTTCCGTCCGTTTTGAAGGGTGAGCTGGTGCCTTCCATGGATGCCATCAACGAACATACCATAACACAGGTGCCTACAATATCGTGTTGACGCTCTGCGGACTTGTAAACACATGTCGCTGTCATTGTAGCATGTTCTATGGGTGCGACATGTGTCGCCGCTCCAAGACGCTGAATTATATTTTCGCAACCACGTACTTTTTTCGCTGACGACCGAGGTAGTCGAGGGTGACCCGTAACACAGTAGAGATGGATGTTTGCCAGACATGTCATCCGCGTAAGGCCCACGTGCGAGCAGATCATTCCTGAGATTAGGCACCCTGTAGTGTGCAGCCGTCGACGTAGGGTTGGGGTCTGGCCGGTCGAAACGCCAATATTGATGAATCTACCGGTGAACGTAGTAGAGGATGTATTTGTTGTTCCGAGGGTGTCATGCAACACTTTTGCTACTTTTGGCCCTGTACATCCCGTTCGACGTGTGTTTTCCATCTGAAGCACCCTGAATATGTCAGTTTTCACCAGATGGCTTCCACTCACGGCGTTGGGTTACCATGCTCATTGTGGCCATATCCTTCATTCTCCGAAGTCGATGTCCTCCCTAAGCCCGCCGTCTACTGTAGTGTCATTTGGTGTTCATGGAAGCCGGCCGGCGCCCGCACACACCAGTTTCTGCCCGGTTGAGTTGCGAGTACGTCATGGTGTGAACTTGATGATAGCCATCCACTCACACCCGCCTCCACAATGACCACAGTTTGCGCTTTTTCGAAATCGCCCCTGTACGCAACATGACCTTCTCCATAACAGCGTCGATTTAGGGTGTTGGATAGCTCACATCGTCGACGTTGGCAGTGAAGATCCCCATAACGAATGATGTTTTACTACACGACCTTCTCATCCTCTCACGTCACGTTCCAACTCATGATGTGACCCTGTAGAATGCATTGGCACAGGTATGAAACGTTCACGTCAAGACCCACCTCCCACGCCCGCCCCTGACTGGAATGCTGTTCGGTTTCTACCACTCCAGATGTCCTTCAGGAAAAAGTACAACAGCCGGAATCAGCGACGGCGAAGCAGTTCTTTCAACAACAGCACAGAAACACGCATGCTCGCCCAGAAAGCAGCGGCGGTAGTCATCCAAGCTCGCGTTCGCGGAGTCCTCCACAGCAAGAGGTGTGTGTGTGCGAGACGATTACGCTTGTGTTCTCAATCTCACAAACATCGTGCAGACACACAGACCGGTCTCTCGTCAGTGAGTTTGGTCGACCCCGCGATTCTACCCGAACGACGGTGTCAGGGCCGACGTCGAAATACTTCGTATTTGCTTCAATGTCACAAACCCGGATGGCCGGCATGAGCGTTGGTGTACATACTATGGAATGCAACGTTGGTGTGGTACACCTAGCGACAAGCCTTGAACGTTCGGTGGCGTCCCCCGCCCCTTCCGTCCCCGGTGCTTGGATTCTCCGCGTAGATCGATTCGCCGTAAAGAGGTCCTAGCCTGGCAAACATACCAAGTCCAAGGCATCAGGCGCAAGCTCACTGCCGGCACGTACATGCTCTTGGCAACCTACACGGTCGTGGTGGTTTATATCAACCTTTGCTACGTGATGACGTACGACAACCCTACGGCCTGGTGAGTGTGATGATGCCTCGACGCTTAGCTTAATTAGATGTGTGGCACCTGTCGGGGGACGTTCTGGGGTTTCCTAGATACGAGGTTCATCAGTGTGAGATTAGAAGATTGGACATTAGAAACAACACAAAATGGTCAGTACAACACAATTTCGTATTTTAGTTTCGCGCCGTCAATGTATCACGACACAATATGCACACGTTCCGGGATTCGTATTCCAATAGGGAGGCCACCAATTGCGCCGTATAGATGTGTTGTGCCGATCGCGGAACATATTTCGTCGCCCGAGGATCCACAAGGAATGGAGGTTGTGGAACGTGTGTGGTCCCGTCACGGATGCCCCAGAATGCGTTTGTGGGCATGCCGTTGAGTATCCACCTGACGTTCATCCTCGACAAGCAAAAAGCAAAAGAGTCCGTGCCTGCAGGATGTCCACGGACAGGCCATCATTGTCAAAAATATTGCCAATGAGCCACACGTATTTTCTTGTTCGCATGCCAATGTTCTCTACCGCACGCATGCCCTTCGGTCTTGCATATGGTGGGGATTGACTATATAGTCTACAGGACCCGATAGTGTGCCCGATATGCGCGTGTCACTCGTCCCAGAGCATCTTTCTAGGGCCTCAACTGAAGCCAAATGGATCGAGGCATGCAGACACACGCAAGGGGCATAGTGTCAATGCACACTCCCGTATGGTTGTAGCAATATACGTAGGCAGCCTCGCTCTTCGACTCGACAAAATTCACCTTGTCGCTTGCTTGCTTGCTCACGCAGGCGCTGGGCTGCGGCCAGCTTCTTGACGGTGTTCATTGACGTGCTTCTTCGGAAACCGCTTTCCGTTCTGGCGGCGTCCACTTTGCACACGATCCGTCGTTTGCATAGCGCTCCGCACGGGGATTTCATTGGCAAGAGAAGTTAATTGACGTAGGAAACGTAGGTCTACGCGTATGCCCCGTAATCGGTTGGTGTGCTGTCGTCTTGCCGGCTTCGTGGACTTGTGGCGACCCAGAATCCGTTGGACTTCGGTTCCTCGCCAATATGGAGGGTAAAGCAACGACGAGGGGCAGCGAGACTGGCATTATGGCGGGGTATTTTGCTGTCGACTACGTAAACAACTTGGAGAAGGAAGTACTGAGAGACAATGGGTGATAGAACGATTGTACGACTCACTGTTCATGCCTTCAGAGAATCAAGCTTGGGGGGAGGAAGTCAACAATGTTGTTGAGCCCTGTTTCCTACGACGATCCGACCGGCGGTCTTACTTCAAACCGAACACGTGAAAGCGACTATGTACTGCCTTCTCCTTTTTTTGTCCTCAGGACTTTTCGTGCGCAAGTCATTGTAGAACGATGCGCCCCACGTGCAAGGT